GTCTCCTAATACGCGAGGAGATGCCAGCATTGCATGCACTGCAGCAGATGCTGCTGCTGCTGCTGCTGGCAAAGCAGCAGATGATAACTCCTGCTGCAGCAGCAGCAACGAGCTGCTGCTGTCTTCTCGCAGCGAAACAAAGTAACGGCTCATATCAGGCCACGGCTGAAGCAGCAACAGCAGCAGCAGCAGCAGCAGCAGCAGCAGGAATAGCAGCAGCAGCAGGTGCAGCAGCAGCAGCAGAAGTAGCAGCAATCTTTAATTTCATCTCAGCAGCAGCAGCAGCAGCAGATACAGAACCTCCCGCAGCAGTGTGTAGAGAGTGAGGTGTACAGACACCTCACGATCTGCTGCTGCTAATGCCACCCCAACAGCAGCAGCAGCAGCAACAGCAGCAGCAGCAGCAGCAGCAGCAGCAGCAGCTGGCTCCCTCACCTGTTTAGAATCCCGCAGCAGGCGGATGCAGCGGCCTATCTGCAGCAGCTGCTGCGCTGCTGGCAGCAGCAAACTCGGCACTGCAGCAGCATCAATCACGAACCGCTCTTGCCACTCCCACGGCCACCCACTCAAACCACCTGCAGCAGCAGCAGCAGCAGCAGCAGCAGCAGCAGCAGCAGCAGCAGACGCAGCAGCAGCAGAGAACAAATAAGGGGGAAGAAGAAGAATGCGAGCTAGAGCGCAACTCAAACGGCAGCAGCAGCAACAACAGCAGCAAAAACAACAGCAGCAGCAGCAGCAACAGCAGCAACGGCAGCAGCAGCAGAAGCAGCAGCAGCAGCAGCAGCAGCAGCAGCGAACGGCCTTACTGCAGTCGTCTGCAGACTCCCCCATGAGCGGATCTCGCATCTGTTCAGTTCTATCGCTGCACATGAAACCCTAAACCCTAAACCCTAAACCCTAAACCCCAAACCCTAAACCCTAAACCCCAAACCCTAAACCCTAAACCCTAAACCCTAAACCCCCGGAACATTTCGGCGTTACATGCGTTGTCATCTGGGTCTGCTAAAGGTCGCTGCTTCTTCCCTTTGTTTCTCCCCCCTAGGGTTTAGGGTTTAGGGTTTAGGGTTTAGGGTTTAGGGTTTACCGTATGAAGAATTCTCTGTATGTGTCGTGTATCTCTCCCTGCAGCAGCCAGCTGCGTAGAAAGCGGAGGAGGGGTTTGAGGGTTTGCTGCTGCAGCAGCAGCAGCAGCTGTCTTGCTGCTTCTCCTGCTGGCACTCGTGCTGCTGCTGCTGCTGCTGCGTTGATTAGGGCCCCACCTCTAAGCCCCCAGCAGCAGCGCACAGCCTCAGCAGCAGCAGCAGCAAGTGCAGCAGCAGGAGCAGCAGCAGAACGTAAACCCTGAAGAGATAAACCCCCCTCGCGTATGCTTGTCTCCCAGCAGCAAACCCTAAACCCTAATTCATTTATAAAACCCTCAACAGCAGAGAAGAAGGCTGACCCTATCGTACCTATCTCCTCTATTCTGCTTCCTGCTGCTTGCTGCGCATGCAGCAGCAAACGGATATCTGCTGCTGCTGCTGCTAGCTGCAGCAGCAAACCCTGAAGGCCCCCGCAGCTATCCTCTTGCTGCTGCAGCAGCGGATGCAGCCACACAGAGAACACAGGCAGCGGGGGGAGGCAGCATCTGCTGCTGTTTGTATCATATGCATGTCTTTCTAGTAGCTGCAGCTGCTGCTGCTGCTGCTGCTGCTGCTGCTGCTGCTGTTGCTGGTGCTGCTGCTGGTGCGGGTCTGCATCCGCAGCCTGCAGCAGCAGCAACTCTTGCTGCTGCTGCTGCAGCAACGCACGCTGCTGCTGCTCTTCTTCTCTATACTGCTGCTGCACCACACGCAGCAGCACACCATCAACCCCCAGCAGCAGCGACAGCAGCTCCTCCAGCAGCAACCTCTCTCTTGCTGCATGCGGCAGCAGCTGCCAGTCTGCTGCTAGCTGCTGCTGCCCCCAGTTAACAGCAGCAGCAAACTCTGCGTCTCTGCTGCTGCTGCTGCTGCTGCTGCTGTTGCTGTCGTGCTGCTGCTGCAGCAGCAGCAGCTCTTGCTGCTCCTCCATCGGCAGCGGCGGAGCCGGAGGCACCGCAGCAGCAGCAGCAGCAAGCCCGTGCTGCTGCAGCAGAGCAGCAATGCTGCTGCTGCCCCACACCTCTGCTGCAGCAGCAGCAGCATCAAAACAACTCGGTGAGAGAAGTGCAGCAGGAAAACGAGACAGCAGCAAACTGCTGCTCTTCACTGCTGCCTTTTCTATATGCCAGCCGCAGTGTACGTACACCCGAGCAGCAGCAGCAGCAGCAGCAGAGGTTGCTGCTGCTGCTGCTGCTGCTGCTGTTTGCTCCTCAGGGGGAGAGTCGAAAGATAAGGACGGCACCAAACACACCCGCCGCTGCTGCTGCTGCTGCTGCTGCTGCAGCTGCTGCTGCGGACGCAGCAGCAGCTGCAGCGATAGAAACTCAGATGTCTTTTGGTTTAGTAACACCAACTCCTCCCCCTGCTGCAGCAGCACATCTGCTGCTGCCTGCTGCTGCTGCTGCTGCTGCTGCTGCTGGAGCCGCTGCGGCAGCAGATGGGGAGGCAGCAAGGAGGGGCGCAGCAGCTTCCATCGTAGGCGCGAGTCTGCTGCTGCTGCTGCTGCTATTGCTGCTGCTGCTGCTGCTGAGCCTGCTGCAGCAGGAAGTATCTGCCTCGCTACTACTGGCGTCCCCGGCCCCCACTCATGCTTTGCATGCGTTCTGCTGAATCCTGCTGCTGCTGCTGCTGCTGCTGCTGCTGCTGCTGCTGCTGGTTTAGCTGCTGCAGCAGCAGCAGCAGAATACACTACCTTCGGGGGGCCCCTCTCTGCTGCTGCTCCTAGCAACCACAGCGATGCAGCAGCATTTGCTTTGGGGGCCCCCACATACGCCAGCAGCACTTCTTCTCCGTGGCTGCAGCAAGCCGAGGCCCCCGTGCTGCTGCTGCTGCTGCTGCTGCTGCTGCTGCTGCTGCTGCTGCTGCTGCTGCTGCTGCTGGTTATTTTGTTATGTGCAGGGTATGTCGATAGCAGCAGCAATCTGCTGCTGGGGCTGTTAGCGAAGGGGGGACTGGGAGAGACAATGCAGGGAGCTTCTGCTGCTGCTGCTGCTGCTGCTGCTGCTGCTGCTGCTGTTGTTGGTCGCGGTGTATAGCTGCCGAAACGACCTGCTGCTGCCGCTGTTGCTGTCCCTGCTGCTGCTGCTGCTGCTGCTGCTGCTGCTGCATGCGTTTCGTCTATCGTTAAGTACTGGAGGCCCCCACGCTGCCCCGAAGCCAAACCAACGGAGCAGTGCAGCTGCACGGGGGAGGCGAGTGGCTGCCGCGGCATTGCACTTTGCTGCTGCTGCTGCTGCTGCTGCTGCTGCTGCTGCTGCTGGAGGGGGCTCTGCTGCTGCTGCAGCTGCTAGCTTGGGGGGGCGGTGTTGCTGCTCATCCGGCAGCTGTTGATGCCCCTGATGCTGTTGCTGCTGCTGCTGCTGCTGCTGCTGCTATTGTTACTGATTTTCCTGCTGCTGCTGTTGCTGCTGCTGCTGCTGGCTGGGCCCCCTGGGGTGTACCGACAGCTGCGGATGAGGGCCCCCCCCCAGGCTGCAGCTGCAAGCTGTTGTTTTTGTTGTTGTTTTAAATAATAAAAAATAAATATTAATATATAAATAAAAATAAAATAATAAAAAAAATATAATTTATTTGCCGAAGGGTTTGTTTAGTTTGCCTCGGCGGTGTGGTGGTGGTTATTGGTGGGGTTGTTCACTGCATGCATTTTTGTTTTTTTTTTTTATTTTTTTTTATTTTTTTATTTATTTTTATTTATTTAAATATTTTTGCTGCTGCTGCTGCTGCTGTTGTTGCTTTTACTGCTGGTGCTGCTGTTTATATGGGTGTTTTTTTAATACTATTCCTGTTGCTGCTGCTGCTGCTGCTGCTGCTGCGGTTGCTGCTGCTGCTGCTGCTGGTGCTCGTGAGCAGAGTTTGCTAGTTTGTGGTCTTGTCTTCTATTTTACTTTATTTTATTTTATTTTTTTATTTTATTTTGTTTTATTTTATTTTATTTAACTTTTATTTTTTTGCGGTGGTTGCTATATGTCCACTGGTCTTTGTTGGGGTGTATAGGCAGCAGCTGCCTATACACCTGAATGTGTATAACTGCTGCTTTTATAAATTACTGCAGCAGCAACTCCTGCTGCTGCTGCTAGCTGTGTATCTGCTGCTGCTGCTGCTGCTGCTGTTAGCTGTGTATCTGCTGCTGCTGCTGTTGCTGCTGCTGCTGCTGTTAGCTGTGTATCTGCTGCTGCTGCTGCTGCTGTTATTTCTGCTGCTGCTACTGCTCCTACTTCTGCTGCTGCCGCTGCATCTTCTTCTGGGTTTGTTACAGCTGTGAAAATATTTCAAACATCTCCATGCATGCATGCAGTGCATGCATGCATGCATGCAGTGCATGCATGCATGCATGCATGCATGCGGTGTTTTAAAATCACATACACACTCGTACATCACAAAACATGCAAAGCATGCATGCATGCATGCATGCACGCATGCAGTGCATGCATGCATGCATGCATGCATGCGGTGTATGAGTGTAGAATGAAGTCTGCTGCATGCATCTGCAGCAGCCCCAACAGCAAAATGCATGCAAACTCTGACGCTGCCTCCTTTGTTGCAGCAGCAGCAGCAGCAGCAGCAGCAACAGCAGTTGCTGCTGCTGCTGCTGCTGCTGCTTGTGTTGCTGTATAGAACAACATTGGGGTGTATGCACAGCTGCAGATGCAGCAGATGCCTCATAGCAAAACTCTTATTTATTTTTTTATTTATTTTATTTATTTTATTTATTTTATTTATTTATTTTATTTATTTTATTTATTTATTTTATTTTATTTTTTAATTTAAATTCTGCTGCCAGCAGCAGAAACAGAAGCAGCTGTCTGTACACCTCAAACGGGTGGGGCCTAAGACAACCACTCCATTCAGCAGCAGCAGCAGCAGCAGCAGCAACTGCTG